CGTCTGTGCTTAGATGCTTTTATCCTAATTACACAGTCACTCTTACGTTCTATTTATTGTAAAGATATGCCCCAAAGCAGAACGCCACCCTACGTCACTCGGGAAAAGTGACATATTATTGACAAATGCAGCGGGCATTCTAAGCGTGTTTATTCGATTTTCAAGCGTCCTTCACGTCGCGAAAGGGTTGTTTCTCCGAATTCACCAATCAATTCAATTCTTTTCACTTATCGAGATGAGACTTAAAAGGAATGAGAAATGCATTTTTAATGTTCTAATCATCTTTGATATTGTAAAGTGGATATTCTTAAGGAATAAATCGATTCGCATATTTTATGGTTGACAGATATTGATGTATGTCAGTGGTATACCTACACCTTAACACGCTGAAAGAACGTCTGCAAATAAATAGCTTTTTTTCATCGATGCTTTAAATTGATTTTTGGCAAATGAAATTGAAAACAGTAATATCATAAAAGAAATTTAATTATCTGTTTCACTATTGTATAGTCTAGAAAGCAGCGATAAAAAGTTTGCTTTGCTATGTGAAATATTGGTGGAGAAAATTCGATAGTTTTTCGAAAGCTCTAAGAGGAACTAGATCTTCAGATAGCTTTTAAATATGATTAAAAAGTATGCTTAAAAGTTCTTTTTTTATTTATTTTGTTTCTCAAAGGCTATTTCATCGTAACTAATTTTAGTAAATAATATGCTATATTTTTATAACCGTCGTGGTTATAAGTTCGTAACAGCCATTCATAACTGTTAGGTTAAGTGTTTTCCCATCTCTATTCAGAATCTCTATTCTGTTTAATAAAATAGTACAAGATAAAGAAGAAAAAACGGTATTTTAAAAATAAAATAATTTATTCTTTGTTTAATATTTAGTATATTTCTCTAAAACTTAAATCTCACAAAACGGTAAATAAAGAAGAAAAAACGGTATTTTAAAAATTAGATAATTTATTTTTTGTTTAATATTTAATATGTTTCTCTAAAACTTAAATCTCACGAAACTCATAGAATAAACAGGAGTTGAGAATTATTCATAGTATTTATTAGGAATTATTCATAGTATTTATTAGAAATTATTCATAGGATTCAGTAGGAATTTTTCATGGGTAGTTCTTTAAAATATTTATTTTCTTATGAAAGAGTAGTTTTTAGCCAAAATAATACTTTTATTATAGATATTTTAACTGTTGTTAATTGTCTGATAGTTAGGCAACCAGAGGGGGGATGTTGGCGAACACGGTACAACTTTGAACTTTATGGGCTCTATAAACATCCTCAAATTATGCAGATAATCCGAAGCAACCGANATTGTTCGGAAATTATAATCATTTATTTTTAAGCGTTGTCAATTGTCTGATAGTTAGGCTAAACATTCTTCATCTTTAACAGATGCCCTCTATGATCATTATGAAAATGGCGCTAAACGTTAAAATGTTCATGTTCCAAGTGTTAAATGTTTCTGCGTTTTAATTTTTTTAATATATAAAAAAGAGGTACTTTACTACATTATCTGGACTCGTAAAGCACGTAAAAATTGAGAAGTATTCATTAATTTTCATCTAGATGCAATTATTTCTCCAAATTCGTAGATTTAAAGAAATATTAATGTTTTTCGAAACAATATTTAATTTGTTGAGTCTTTAAGATCGACTTATTACTTTCACGAGATAACATATGTATTTTAAAACTAAGTCTACTCTGAGTACTCTTACTTCGCAATTTTATGTTTTGAGACATCTGAACTCTACTCCACCCTTTTTTATTTTCCTTGCAAAACAACTTTTAAGGACACCTTTTATGATTAAGTGAAAAAATTATGTTGTATTTTGTGTTTAAGATACTCAAAATATGTTTTTTTTCTTACACTGAGAAAAAAAGAGTATACTCAAAACTACCAGAATATGGATACATTTTCCGTGTTTATATCGCTATGGGAACACCAAAAAGCTCGGTATTTTTTAACAAAGCGTTTTGGTAAAATTAACTAAAAAATACGGTTTTAAAATAAGAGATAAAGTTTTAGTAAATGCGGAACCTGCTGTCTTCTCTGCATAGCAAAACCCGTTTTTCCATGTTAATAGATAGTTGAATAGTGTATAGGGGAGAAACATTCTCCCAAATTTACCCATTTGCTTAACCGCCAGTGGGTTAATGTGTGACAATAAGAACTAGGTTTTTGAAAAACAGAATTTCCGGTGAAGTGATTCCTTATGAGTGTAAAAATTACCAAATGAATCATTTAAATACCTAATGTTTTGATTTATTATACGAAATTTAGGATATTTCTCCCAAAATTTCATTTCAATACAGTACGGTAAATTTAACTGAATTTGTTTCTCCTTGTAAAAATAATGTAATTAGAATATGGAAAAAATAAAAAAATAAGATGAGAACTAAGATGTAATGAAAAAATTAGAGAGCTGCTTGCGGTTTAAAAACTGTGAAACTTAGAAAACTAATAACTGTGAAACTAATTTAAAAACTTAGAGTTGGATCAATCCGACAATTTCTTTAAATAATGTATTAACATCAGTTTAATAAACAAATTAATTACAGGTTTTTTATTATGATTGTAATACCTTGCCCTGTGAAAACTGTTAGAACCATTAAAACCATTAAGAACTTTTAAAATGCAAAAAAATTGGAATGATATGTAACATGATTTGGGAGAAAGAATCTTGTTGGGAATGTTAATGAAACTTTTAGCACAATAGATTTCTTTAGAAGGCTATTAATGAAATATAAAATAATTTATATGTTTTGAAAAAATTATGTTAGATATTTCCCTTTTCTTTTTCTTTACTAACTTTGAAATGTTTACCCAATTTAGAAACACAAATACTACCACAGGCATACATAATAGAGGATCTGTATTAACAATACAAATAAGCATGAAGGTTACCAATATATCGTTTGCTCCACTCTAAAACAACGATTCTGCTAATTACCTTGCCAATGTGACGCATTCGTGGTTTTGAAGAGGAACCAAAGATATAATATTGTTCGGAAATTATAATCATTTACAATGAAAATAAACTATGAAATATGACTAATAATGCTAGCAAAAATTATTTTACGTTTATATTTGTGGTTTTACTCATTTTTGCTAATTATTGAGAATCTGCTGAAAATCCTATGTTTAAGTATCCTTAAAAAAAGATTGACACTAAAACGCTAATACAATTTAAAAATGACGTTTATTTACGTCTTATGATTGCTTACTAAATTGCGCAAAATTTTTGCAGACTAATGAAGCGCAAAAATATTTTGATTGTTAGTTTTAACTTTAAGTGTTTGAATAGATTTTCGTTTTCTCAATTTACAGCAAAGTATCTAAATGAATAATTAGTTTTTTGCATCGGGAAAACTGAATTTTTCAGAGTATTGAAGTACATTTCCTTTGCTAATAAAGTTATTTGGTCTTATTGTGTGTTCGTTAAATAAATTTTAATGAAAAACTACTCATTTTGTGACCGAGTGACCACATATAGGAACATTTTCTCTTTCTTTTTTTTATTTAAACGAGTGAAAATTCGTCATGCATCACAAAGTACAGCATGAGGCTTACAGAAGTAAGTAGAAGACAAAAACACGAAAATTTACAAATTTGCATTAAAAACAAAAGTACATTTTCATTGGGGTGTTTATCAATTAAGGAAACGAAATTGTCGCACTGAATATCAAAATGGCCTACTTTTTCATAAGCTTGAGAGCTAACAGCTAAAAAAGAAATCCTTAATCACTGCAAACGATCAAATATTAATATTCTAATCGTTGAAATTACAGCACTTTACAAAATAGATTACATTATTTTTGTGCAGTTTTTATTCTAATATCGTTAGAGAAGATGGGTGTTTTAAGAGTTTGTGTAAATCTTACGTGCACGGAAAAAAAGAAATATGATCAAAACTATCAGAATATGGTAAAATTTTCCGTATTTTTGGCTAAATGTGGACATCAAAAATTTTGGTTTTACCGAAAAGCTTTGGATGCAATTTTGGTAAAATTTATAATTTGATAATTTATAATATGTGATTAAATTTAATAAATACGGTAAAATTTGATATTTTTTTATCCTGACGCCTAAGAAAATGGCAAAAAAACTTTTTTATTTGGTTGCATTTATTTCACTAAATGTATGATAATAAGAACTATAATTTTAAATTCCAGAATTTATGGTGAACCACTATCCTATAAAACTAAAAACTACCAGATGAATGGCTTAAATTCAATCTATATTTTTTTAACGGTTGGCACTGAACTTTCTTTCATCACGTAGGAAGATGTCGGAAGTATTACTCATTTAATGTACCCTTGGGCACCTGTGAACCTAAGTTTCGAACCCGCAAACATTGGCTTAACAGTCAGACATGCTAATCGCTCGGCCACCTGGTCGGCAATTAAATGTAATATAATTTGCCAGATGGAATATTATTTACCAGAAATGTCATTACCATACATCGCGGTAATGTTAAAATAGTTTTTTCTTCGTGCGTAAAAATAATAAGACTTCGATTACGCTCTATACTTTTTACATAAGTTGTTGTTGTTGTTGTTAATTTACGTCGCACTGGAGCTGCACAATGGGCTATTGGCGACGGTGTGGAAAACATCCCGGAGGATGATCCGAAGACATGCCATCACAATTTTGATCCTCTGCGGAGGGGATGGCACCCCCGCTTCGGTAGCCCGACGACCTGCGCGCGAAGTCGAGCACTTTACGGTAGCACAGTTTAACGAGGACCAATACCGCACACCCTCGGTCCCTACGCAG